TAAGGCTCACTGGTCTATAATTACCAGGGTTGTCTCTACTCCCCTTCTTGAACAAGGGGACAACATTTGCTAGTCTCCAGTCTTCTGGCACTATTCCTGAAGACAATGACGACAATGACGTTCCTGACTTATGCCTTGTAATTGGTGGACAGGCTTTGGGAGTCAAGATATGAGTTACTCACTGCAAGATTTCTAGTCTCTGATTTGCTGTTATAGCCACAGTATATTTTGATTAGTCCAGTTCAGTTAATGGTCGTTGGTGAACCCTGAGGAGTTGACTGGGAGATTCCATGATGGTAATATCATTGAATATCAAGGACTGATAGTTAGATTTTTTTTTTTGTAGACTGCCATTGTTTGGCAGTTGAGGCTGGAAAATCCCTTACTATATGTTTGCCCAAGCCTGAATATTCTTGATGTCTTGTTGCAGTTGGTACTGATCTGCTTTAGTCCATATCTAGAGAAGAATATGGAGAGATTAGAAAACCTGATGGTACGGAGGGATCGGAGTGTCCTGTTCCATGAATCTGACAAAGTTAGTATGCAGTTACAGCAAATGATGAGGGAGGAAAATGGAATGTTGTCACTTGTTGCATGGGAATGGGATATAAAAATCAACGTCTTACTTCACCGGTACAGGGTTTTGTTGCAACCACATCTGGAGAACTGTGTAGAGTTTTGGGCACCTAAACAGTTCAGAGCGAGTTGCTTGTTTCATTTTTTGGGGTGAAGGATTAGCTTAAAGGCTGAACATGTTAGATCTGTTCCTATTGGCATTCGGAGAAAGATCACGTTCCCTCTTAAAGCTTGTAGGATTTCGGTAGATAGGGTGAATACCAGAAGGATGTTTCCTCTTGTGGGGAAACACTAAAACTGGGGTACTTTGTTGAAGAATAAATGGTATCACCCCTGTATCAGAAGGGAAGAGAAACTTCTGAGGGTCATTATAGAATTCTTTTCCTGAGAATGTAATGGAGGCTGAGTTTGCAAATTTTATTCAAGGCTGAGTTAATTTTTTGGACGGAATTAAGTGTTATGGTGTGTAGACAGGAAGTGGAACTGAGACCACAACTAGATCATCCCTAATCCTGTTGGATGTTGGAAAAGGCTTGAAGGGCAAAATAACCTACTGCTGTGTTTTGATGCTCCTTTTCTTGGTATCCAGTGGTATCTGAATAACTCTTTCTCCTCCCTTCTCATACAGGGATGATACCATTTATTCTTCAACAAAGTGCCCCAGTTTTAGTCTTTCCCCACAAGAGGAAACATCCTTCCAGTATTCACCCTATCCACCGAAATACCTTTTGCTGTCTAGTTGGATTGTTAATCAAATCTTACATAGATCCTCATTTTTGAACACATATTTTAAAAGGATATTTTATAGACATATGTTCATAAAATGTCAAATTTACTGTTTCAGCCAAACATGACAACCGCGACCTCGCCTATTCTGCTTAAGTGGGATCCCAAAAGCCTGGAAATACGTACTGTGACGGTGGAAAGATTACTAGAACCATTGGTTACACAGGTAAGAGAATCAGCATTAGATTTAATAACTCCCTACCCGAATCAAACTTCAAAAGACCTACCACGTTTGATTTTTTTTTTTAAAATAACAAATTTAGTGGTGTGAATTATGATCACTTGGCTTCTGACCTCATTCTGCCCTTGGTTCAAATGTGTATAAGCTGAATTCACTGGGGTTGGGTGAGAGGGACTGCTTTTTGACATCAGGGCACCATTTGACTGCATTTGGCAATAAGGATGCCCTGGAAAATTTGAAGTCTGAGTGAATTGCCAGTTTAAAAAGCGTGTGTGGGAACCTTTTTCACTGGCTGTTGCCATACTAAATACAAAGGAACATGGTAGTGATCTATTAGGTTAATTATTTCAGGCTCAGGAATACTTGTATTCCTCCAGGCAGTGTCATGGGTTCATTGATCTTCAGTTGCTTTATAAATGATCTTGTCCCCATCATAATTGCTGCTGATTCCAGAAATTCACTTGCATTTACAACTCATTACAAACCAGTCTGTGCCTGCATGCCACAAGATATACGTCTCCAAAACCTTAGATTAATGCCATCTAAGTCAATAATAATAGCCTGACCTAATGGAACTAGTCCAAGTCATGACTATTCCTGATACTGGCGTAATTTTTACACATTTCACAGAAATTAAATTTATTGTAAAAATTGCAAATGAAATGAAACATTTTTTTTAAAAAAGGCAGTAGTTTTCAGTTGATGCACTTTCGGATACCAGCTTGCAACGCTGGTCCAATGCCAGTTTTATGTCACTGTGTTAACAAAAGTTATCCTTTTCTCTTCAGTCTTACTTTCTTGCGCACTGAAACATAAAGAATGACCTCTCATTAACCCTTGCTAGCTGCTAGCAATGTGCAGCAGCAGAGACATCCTAAACTCCAATTGGCTGACAATGCTTGGTCAGTGCACGATAAAACTCTGGTTAGGTAGTGTATGCCCAGTTCTTGATATGTTAAACATAATGGCCATGTGAGTGATATCACTTCCTAATGTCCTCTGATTCGTTCTTTGACTTGCCAGCTACTTTGTAAGGTTACTCATTTTGTCATAGTCTCTTTTTCAACTTGCCAATTTTATATTTTTAATACTGATAAGATGACTCTTGGATGTGGGAACAGAGGTAGGCCATTCAGCCCAATGTGCCTGCTCTGCCATTCAGTTAGATCGTGGATAATCTGATAACTAACAAAACCACATATTCCTGCTTTGTCCATAACCCTTCATTCTCTGAAGGATTAAAAATCTGTCTCTCTTAGCTTTGAATATACTTAAGGATCTAGGCTGTACAGCTCTGTAGTAAATCTGTGGAGTGCTTTCCTCATCGACAGCACCTTACCCAGGGCTAGAAGACTGGAGTTTGGCTAATGGGGTGCCATTATTTGAGAGGTGGTGAGGAAAAGCCAGGGAACTAGATACCAGTGATTGTGACATCAATTGTTGGAAAGTTGTTGGAGAGGATTCTGAGGGACAGGATTTGTGTATTCAGAAAGGCAAGGACTGATTAGGGATAGTCAACATGGCTTTGTGCATGGGAAATCGTGCCTCAGTAACTTTGTCACTTATTCAAAGAGAATTAATGAAGGCAGAGCGGTGGGTGTTGTCTATGTGGACTTCAGTAAGTTGTTCGAGAAGGTTGTGGTTGGTTGGCTCGCCAAGCTGGTTCGTTGTTCTACAGACATTTTATTACCCTGCTGGGTAACATCATCAGTGCAGCCTCCGATGAAGCGCCGTTGTGTTTCCCCGCCTGGTTTTTAAACTCTGTAGTCCATTGAGCTGGATTACCTCACTTATGTTTTCCTTTGCAATGGAGTGTATATGGTGTCAAGTTCTGTGTTTGTTGATGGCTTTCTTCTTGGAGTACCAGGCTTCTAGGAACTCCCGTGTCTGTCTCTGCTTTGCTTGTCCCAGGATCTTGGTGTTGCCCCAATCAAATTGGTGTTTCTCCTTGTCCATGTGCATAGAAATGAGTGAGTATTGGTCGTGTCTTTTTGTAGCCAATTGGTGTTCGTGTACCCATGTTGTTAATTTCCTTCCTGTTTGTCCAATTTGTAGTGTTTGTCACAGTCTCTGCAGGGAGTCTTGTATATGACATTCGTCCTGTCCATAGTGGGTAGTGGATCTTTGGTTTGGGTGAACAGTTGTCGTAGGGTTGATGTGGGTTTGTGTGCTACTCTGATGCCCAGTGTTTGTAGGAGTCTTGCAGTTAGTTCCGATGCCTTCCTGATGTAAGGTAGCGTGATGAGTGTGTCGGGGCGTGTAGTATCTTCCTGGTGTTGTTTGTGTAATAGGCATCTTCTGACCCAGTTGTTTGGATATCCATTGTTCTTGAATACCTGGAAGAGGTATTCTTCTTCTTGGCGTAGTTCTGTGCTGCTGCAGTGTGTTGCCCATTTAAACAATGTTCACACGCAGCCTCATTTGTGTGTGTGTGTTAGGATGGTTGCTGTTTAAGTTCAGTACTTGGTCAGTGTGTGTGGCTTTTCTGTTTACTTTCGTTTTGGAATTCCCCATTTGTCCTGTGCTCTACCATGACATCCAGGAATGGGAGCTGTTTGTTCTTCTGTTTGTTCTCCTCTCTAGTGAATTTGATTCCGGTGAGGGTGTCATTTTTTAGTTTGTGTGTCTCCTCTAGTTTGGTCCGTTTAATGATGACAAAGGTGTCGTCCACGTATTGTATCCATAGTTTCGGTTGGATTAGTGGAAGGGCCGTACTTTCCAGACTTTGCATCACCGCCTCGGCGATTAGTCCGGAGATAGGTGATCTCATAGGTGTCCTGTTGATCTGTTTGTATGTTTGGCCGTTGAAAGTGAAGTGGGTGGTGAGGCATAGGACCAGTAGCTTCAGCATGTTGTCTGTGGAGATGGTTTCACTGGGGTCTTGGTCTTGTTCTCGTAGTGCTGTCATGACTGTCATCTCATTACTGTGTGATAAGGTTCTACATAATAGACTGGTTAACAGGTTAGATCACCTCGAATACAGGGGAGAACTAGCCGTTTGGATACAAAATTGGCTTGAAGGCAGGAGGCAGGGTGGTGGTGGAGCATGGTGTGCTGCAAGGATCGGTGCTGGATCCACTTTTTTTTTTCATTTATAAAAATGATTTGGATGAGAATACGAGGTATGGTTAGTAAGTTTGCAGATGACACCAAAATTAGCAGTGCAGTGGACAGTGGTGGTTATTTCAGTACAACGAGACCTTGATCAGGTGGGCTGATAGGCTGAGTGGCAGATGGAGTTTAATCTAGATAAATGTGAGGTGCTATATTTTTGGTAGGGCAAATCAGGCCAGGACTTGTACACTTAATGGCAAGGCTTTGGGGAGTGTTGCCGAACAAAGAAACCTTAGAGTGCAGGTTCAAATTTCCTTGGAAGTGGAGTCGCAGGTAGGCAGGGTAGTGAAGAAATTGCATTGAGTATAGGAGTTGGGAAGTCATGTCGCGGTTGTACAGGACATTGTTTAGGCCACTTTTGGAATATTGCATTCGTTTGTGGTTTCCCTGTTGTAGGAAGGATGTTGTGAAACTTGAAAGGGTTCAGAAAGATTTACAAGGATGTTGCCAGGGTTGGAGGATTTGAGCTATAGGAAGAGGCTGAATAGGCAAGAGCTATTTTCCCTGGAGCGTCGGAAGGGTGACCTTATAAAGGTTTATAAAATCATGAGGGGCATGGATAGGGTACATGGATAGGTCTTTTCTCCAGAGTGGGAGAGTCCAAAACTAGAAGGCATGGGTTTAAAGTGAGAGGGAAAATATTTAAAAGGGACCTAAGGGACAACTTTTTCACACAGAGAGTGGTGCATGTTTGGAATGAGCTGACCGAGGAAATGTTGGAGGCTGGTACAAATATAACATTTAAAAGGCGTGTGGATGAGTATATGAATAGGAAGGGTTTAGAGGGATATGGGCCAGATGGTGGCAAATGGGACCAGATTTATTTAGGATATCTGGTCGGCATGGACAAGTCGCACCGATGGGTCTGTTTTTGTGCTGTACGTCTGACTCTGATGCTTACTTTTTCTGTCTGTTGCTGATCATCTTGATTTTACTTGTGCATTTGCCTGCAAAGTTTATTTTCTCTTAGAGGTTTATAAAATCATGAGGGGTGTGGATAGCGTGAATAGCCAAGGTCTTTTTTTCCAGAGAGAGTCCAAAACTCGAGGGCGTAGGTTTAAGGTGAGAGGGGAAAGCTATAAAAGGGACCTAAGGGGCAACTTTTTCATGCAGGGGATACTGTGTATTTGGAATTAGGTACCAGAGGAAGTGGTGAATGTACCAGCCTTCACAACATTTGAAGGTCAGAAGTCCCACAACACCAGGTTATAGTCCAGCAGGTTTATTTGAAATCACAAGTTTATGGAGCGCTGCTCCTCCATCATGTGAAGTGAAGAGAAGAACACAGGCCCAGAATTTACATGCAGAGAGATCAAAAAACCATACAAATGGGAGTGGAGTGTTGACAGCCTGCAAAATAATCTCTGCATGTGATCAAAAGTGTCAGACAGTGTGAGTAAAGTGTCAACAGCTGAATTGCAATTGAAAGGATGAGGCAGAGAGATATATACCGGATGCATCAACATTTTCTTCCTTTGAACTCATGGTAAGGAATCACTGAAACGATTACACAACAATATCAATTTTCTTCCCACCATTAGACTTACCATGGACTACTCTTCAGAATCAGTCTCATTCTTGGACACACTCATCTTTGTCAAGGCCAGCCACCTCAGTACCTCACCCTACCGCAAGTCCATGGATAATCTCACAATGCTGCATTTCTCTAGCTTCCACCCTAAACATGTTGAAGAAGCCATCCCCTACAGACAAGCTCTGCGTCTACACAGAATCTGGTCAGACGAGGAGGAATATGACGGACACCTAAAGATGTTGAAAGATGCCTACTTAAGGACAGGATACAGTGCTCGACTCATTGATTGCCGGTTCTCACGCGCCACAGCGAAAAATTGCAACGACCTCCTCAGAAG